GCTGTGAGAATGGAATGCTGGATTACATGGGCTTTTGGTTTGATCCCAAAAAAGTATGTACCACTTGATTGTTAAAAAACAAGCACAAAGTCATTTACAAAAAGATAAAACAATAAAACCGGGGCGGGGGGGGGGGATAATCACCACCATAGTTTAAAAGAAATACTAAAACAGATTAAAGTTACTTCAGTTATGTTCTTATGTGAAGAAACATAGGAACACAGGCAGCAGCAACCTTATGCCAAGTCCAATCATTGGCCCATCTAGTTCAGTATGGTCTACACTGACTGGCAGCAACTTCCTAAGACTTTAGACAGTGGTTTACTCTCAGCTAGGGATGGATTGATCTGTAGATTTGAGCTTTCTCCATTTCTATTTTTTCTAATCTTAAATTCGGTTCTCCACATTTTTGCAGTAATTTGCAATAAAGAAATGAATTTAATCTTCATGAAAAAAATCAGCATTTTCATGTTAATTTCTCCTAATACACACATTTGTATGCAATCTTGCCTATTATACACATTTTTGCAAAGCAATTTGCCACAATATAATGCATTTTTATTAATATATGCATTTTTATGTAGACTTTACCTTCGATATGCATTTTCTTATACATCACTTGGCTGCAGAACCGCACTGCAAATCTGAAGGAACGTGGATTTTAAGGATGCCTGCGTTTTTGTTGGCACATTGTTTCAGAAAGTGTGAATTTGGTAGGTTCACCTTTAAATGCAAACTGAATCAAATTTATCCCCCATCTTTTCTCTTGACCCTACCTGGAGATGCTGGGGATTGAACACAGGGCCTTTTGCATGCCAAACCGATGCGCTACCACTGAGCATCTTTCTTTCGGAGAGACAGAGAGAAAGAAGTTGCACAGGTCCAGCAACCCAGGATTTTGCAACTGTACTGACACATTTATTCCAAGTCAAATGCAGACAGAGAGGGTGTGTATGACAAAGGCAGGATAGGGGAGTGCGGAGACTATCCATGTCAACAATCCTAACTGTGTTGACAGGATACCTCAACCTCTGTGCCCAGCCTTAACACCTTTCTTAACACCTGTCTCAGTTGTCTAGGTGCTGCACAAGGAATAAGGAAATGCAAGCGTCTCTGTCTGCAGGTTTATGATTGACAAGGAAAAGAGGACAGAGAAGGAAAAGGCAGGCAAGCAAATTCACCCTTGCACCAGTAGCAACCCTAAAATATAAATATAAGCCACAGAACATGAGTGCCAGATGTCAAGGCTCATAGTCCAAAGACTCTGCATCGAGTGCAAAGGGGCAGTGTTGTGGCAAGCAGAAATCAAGCACTCACAGAGAGCATTGCAACTAATGCAGCTCCTCTTGATGTCCACTCCAGAATGGGGAAGCTGTAACTCTCCATTCCTGATGAGGAACGGTTAGGGGAATTGGGTATGTTGGCCTGGAAAAGAGGAGCCGGGGATAGCAATCCTCAAATATCTAAACGGCTGTCGCATGGAAGATGGAGCAAGCTTGTTTTCTTCTGCTCCAGAGTGTAGGACCCAAACCAATGGATTCAAGTTACACAGAGATTCTGACTAAACATCAAGAAGTAGTTTCTGATGGTAAGAACTGTTTGACAGTGGAGCAGACTCCCATGAGAGGTGTTGGACTCTCCTTGCTTGGAGGTTTTTAAGCAGAGGTTGGAGGGCCACCTCTTATATATGATCTAGTTGAGATTCCTGCATCGATTCGGACTAGATCACACTTGGGGTCCCTTCCAACTCTACAATGATATGATTCTATGAATCTGCTTCCTTCCAACCAAGCAAGAAACTATGGTTGTTCTTGTTTTTTAGGAGTTGGAATTCATTTCACGCTATCTGTGAAGGTCTCTCCCCTCCAATTTTTTTTAATTGAATTTAGGATTATGCATGTTACATGAGATAATAGTTGGAAGCATCCACCTCAGCCTTGAGAGTGAAAAGCAAGCATCAGTGACAACAAACAAACAAACTCCAACAATTAAGTATGGAATACACCAGTCAGAAATTAAATTATGATGGAAACTACCAGGCAGTGTGGTTGAGGGAAAAGAAAAGTTTTAGACATTCTCATTGCTATGGAAGATGGAGATCCTCCAGAATGAAAGCTGGGTGATCGGGGCGCAGTTGTTCTAACAGTTCCAGGTAGGGTTGGAAAAGACTCCCCGTCTGAAAACCAGGAGAGCAACTGCCGGTCAGTGTAGTAGACAAGACTGAGCTTGATGGACTGATGGTCTGCCCCAGTATTAGGCAGCTTCCTATGTTCCCTACCCCATTGTACATATGTCAAGAAACTGAGGTAGAAACACCTAGAAAGGTTCTAGACTTGGAATCACAGGTGAGGGGAAGGGCTGAGGAAGAGGATCCACCTTGCACACAGAATGTCCCAGGCTCAATCCTCAGCATCTACAGTTAGGGCTCAGAGAGACACCTGCCTGGAACCCTTGAGAACCACTGCCTGTCTGCCTAGATTGTTCAGTAGCCTGACTGCATGAGGCAGCTTCCCTACAGTAGACTCAGCTTCCTGGCACTGCTCAGAGAGGCAGGCTACAAACTTTTTTTAAAAAAAGGATGGGGATCTACAACAAGCACCAGCACTGTGTCCTCCTGGGGCCCCAGCAGCCGCCTGACGGTGTTAGACGCTGACAACAGCCCTGCAGCCACAACATCTCTGTAGTAGCCACATCTGCAGAGCCACACAGCTCTTTGTGGCAGAAGTGTCTCTGCCCGCACCACATTTGTAGAGCAATCCCCATCACTTTGCCTCCCTTGGCTAATAAAAAGGGCTGGCTAATATATTCGGGAACCCAGAAGGCAGCTCTCAGAATGTCCTGCAAGGTTATGACACATGCTCCTTTGGCCTGTACAGTGTGTGGCACAGGGTAGCCTGGGCTAGCTGTAGAACGGTGTTGTGGGGTGGGGGGACTTCCCAGGCGGGCCCTCTCCCTTTAATTGGTGCTAATTGCTGCGTTTGTTCCTGCTGGCCGGGGAGATGTCATGGTTGAAAGGCACAGAGGGGAACGCTGGAGGAGCTAATCCGGCTTTCAGCCACTAAGCCCCCTTTTGGAGGCGTGTGATAGAGGGGCTCTTTCACAGAAGGCACAAAGCCTGCAGGAGGAAAGGGAGAAATAGGAGATGGAGCCGACAGGAAAAACTTTCACACGGCAGCTCCGCTAAGCCACCTTTGTGCGGGTGGACCCGTCAGGGGTGTCTTAAAGGGACACTGCCTCCCTCCTCCCCAAAGCCCTACGCCTGCATTCCTTTTTCTCTCCTCTTGTTCGCCTTTTCAGTCCCATCTGCCAAAGGGTTGACCCCCATAGGGATGCTAAAGGGAGAAATCCTCCCCAAAGTGTTTGTTCAGCTAGCTAGGAGGGGCGTTCGAGGGAAGCGCCAATGACTTCGAGAGACTTTGGGCCAGGTCTCTGTTGAAATTTATCACACTCCTCGGCCTTCCCTGCATTGAGGTTGAGTTTCCTGCAGTTTCCTGAGCTGCTTTCTGCTGAAGCGCTTTATTCATTTGAGAGCTGACAGAGGTGCAGGCAATACTTAGTACAGTTTCATGCCACCAGAGTTTCCTGCTGTTGATTCTGCAGTTCAGTCCTCCTTAGTACTTAGCAGTCTGGACAGAGGTTCAGTGACATCAGCGTATGTAAGACTCAGTTGGGCAACCTGTGGTCCAAGGGCCTGGTTTCCATGCAGATCCTGGTCTAATTTCATCCAGGTGGCAAGGAAGCTAAATGGAGTGTCAGCACTGCCCTGTCACTTCCCCACCTACCTACCTACCTACTGCCTGCCCTTCTGCTATCCAGCCCCCAGGCGACTGTATTGAACTTTGATTGCTGCAATTCGGCTGATGCTGCCATTTTGGTTTTCCTCCACAATGAACCAGAGGCCGCCTCAATTTGGTGCATCGTTGGATAAACAAAATGGCAGCCACCCAGGTGCTAGGCTACTCTATAATGTTACAAAGAAAGAAAAGTGGTGGTGGTGGGGAGCCTGTTGCACCACTGAGCTACAAGAAAAGCCCTCACTTTGAGCCTTCAGGAAGGCAATAACAGGATCCTCTTAAATCTGGAGCCAGCTATAATACTTACAGGTCCCCTAACGGTTTAAAAATAATCTGCATTTGTTGGAATATCAACGAATGAAAACCAGTCCATGCCATTTCTGTGGCACCCATTACTCAATTCATTTGGTTTCAACCTCCTTTGTACCTCTCCCCATGTCTAGCTACTATTTCCCAGGGCTGTTTAATTCACCATACACAGGGGTGACAAGCATTCCTCCAGGCTCCTCTACTGGGCACTTGGGACTCGCTATAGGCCACAACCTCTCCCCAGACAACACCTTTCACCATCCCTCCTACCATTCTTCTTGGCTGGAATGTGCCCTAGAACTCTGACCATGCATCTGGCTTGTCTGGATGGAGAGGGGTGTGTTTACACTCGTCCAGTACTGATATGCCGCCCCTGAAAAGTTCTCTAGGAAAGCATGGGGTCCTCAGGCTGAAAAAGAATCCTCCCTCTCAAGGTAGATAATTCTCACATGTACCTACTGAAGTCCAGAGAGGGTAGACAGGGGAGTGCAAGTGTGTGCATAAACTTACCTTTCTGTACTAAGGTAGAATGTACATCCATTACTCCACCCACTTTTGCTTCTGGCCCCGCCCACTGCTGGCATCTGGACCATGGGAGGTCTAGAACAGTACCCTACCCCTGACCTAACAAAATAGGCTGAGGGCTCTTGCATACGACAGCTCATGTCACAAAGAGCCAGTTGTGTAACAAGTTGGGGGTTTTGCGGGGGCCAGGGTAGGGGAGATCAGCAGTATTTGTTCCCATGTGATCTCCCCAACCCAGGTTTTTTGCTTTTTTGCTTTTGCTTTGTTCTGCTTGACCAGAAGACTGGCTGCAACAGTTCTAAACCAGATAGCAATGTACAGCACCAGGTCATAGGAGGCAACGGGATGCAGAAAGATAGGAAATTCTCTTACCTAGGCACTCGTTAGCCTCCCTGGCGGTGGCCCTCTGCCATGGACGGTCGTAATGGAACGGTTTGCAGCGGTCGCACTCAGGGCCCTCCGTATTGTGCTTGCAGTCACACACCAGCTTGCCTTCTTTGTCCTTCACGCAGCGTGAGGCATGCCCATTGCACTTGCAGCGCCCTCCGACCTGAAACTCGCCCACAGCATAGTAATACGAAGAAGAGCTAGCCCCGCCATCCTCGTCCTCATGGTCCCGGCCCCCTAGTTCCCGGAACAAATGGGGGCGGCTGAAAATGACCCGGATGTCAGTGGCCGTCACCCAATCCTGAAGGACGGGGCTGTTGTCAAAATCTTGGGCTGACGGACGCCCGTCCAGAGTGCTGAAGGCAATGAGCCCTCCTGTCAAGGGGTAGAGGTCGGTGTGCCCATCAGTGCACAGAGCCTCTTGCTCGTTCTGTTTGGTGACGGTGGCTTTGTTGGGCTTGCCGTAGATCTTCCGGCACTGCGAAGAGTAATACTGATAAGGCACCCATGTTTTGCCGTAATCCATGGACTTGAAAACAGCAGCTGACTCTGGACGGGGAGAGCAGAACTGCAGACTCACATAGATCACCTCAAACTTCTTGCCCAGGGAGAGGGTGAGGGTGATATTCTGGGGCGAATGGTGCAAGGTCTCTGAGCGCCAGCAGGTCATATTTGCAGCAGTGTTGAGGTCTGTGAGGTAGGATGCTGGGTGAGCTTTCCGGGGGTCAGAAGAGTCACAGTGGCGGGTCGCTGGCTTCCCGCATGTGCTGGATGCATGGACCTCCTTCCCAAAGGCGGCGTTGACAAATTCTGGGATGCAGCGGCGGGGTGCCCCCTTTTCGTCATAGCAAGGGTCAGGCGGGATCTGTTGCACCGCAAAGGGGTTCACAGCCTGAGACAAGTCTAATCCACAGGCAGTCAAGAGCAACCACAACATAGACAAGGGGTCCATCCTCCCAGTGAGAGATCTTCAAAAGTCACAGAAACCAGCTTCTCTCTAAATGAAAAGCAAATGTTGTGTTAAAATGGTTCCAGTTGTTCACTTGGGATGGGGGCTGGTGAGAGGACAGGAGCTCAGGCTGCAATATGTCTCTGGTCTAGAGAAGGGAAAGACTAGAGAGGGAAACACTAGAGAGGAAGTAAGCCAGGCAAGCTTGCAAACATTTTCAGCTCATGTCAAAGATTTGGAGGAGTAGCTGAGTTGCTTAGGACAGGACAAGAAGCAATGGGTTCAGACTAGTGGAAGGTTGAACATTTTTTTAAAAAATGCTATGCACCTGCAAAGGCAATTCAGCAACATCACAAAGAGCTCAGGGAGATTGTAGAACCCCCTTCTTTTGATGCCCCCCCCTTGGGATGTTGCAGAACAAAAAGGATATCCTTTTTGGAGTTTCTCTGCATAAGCTGCGGGAAAAGAGTCTTTGCATTCCTGCTGTGAGCCACAGAGGGAATGGAAGAAATCCTACTTCTTTGTGAAGAGACAACTATTGGCATCTTGCTTATCTGTTTAACTGAGGCCAGGATTGTCTCATAGCCAGTTATCTTTCAGAGCCAGTTAGGAGTGATTAGGGTGATGGGCTGAGGAGAACTGTGTTCAAGTATCCACTATGTCACAAAGTGCAATTGGGACCTTCTCCCAGCTTGGCCTACCACAAAGGGTTGCTGTGAGGACAATATGAGTACCGGTATAGGGGAAGGAATGAACCATGTACACTGCCCCAAGCTCCTTGGAAGAAGAGCAAAACAAATACTAATAGAAATAAATAAAATACTATAAACTAACTTTGATTTGCAAAAGATGTAGGCTGTGCACAGCCGAACAAGAATGTCTACATAGGCACAAGGTGAAGCTGGGTATAATGTGGATTGCGGGGATCAGATGCAGATCAGCTGGGATGGCCTCAGCAGTTGGCACTATAAGGTCAAGACTCAAGACTCACATCTCCAAGTGTGGAAGCAGAGGCATGACTTAAAATGAGCAACCGCTACCACTATCCTCACTCTCTCATTCTGGATAGTAGCACAGTTTGGGGAGAGAGAGAGGCAGACAGACAAACAGAGATACATTTGTGATAAGTGATAAGGTGACCCAACCCAAGGCATCCTGCCCCTCCTGCCACAGTTGTGGGTGCTGCACATCAGAGCACATTTGATCCTGTAAAATGGTCCCTGCAAGTAAGCGCCTCAGTCCCGAGGTCCAACTGCAAGGCAAAGTGGGTGGTCCCCCAGTCAATCGTAGCTGGAAATGTTGGGATACTGGGGGCCAACAAGAATCATAAACAGGTGAAGGAAAAAATTGGTACAAAACACTAAGAACCCACATACAGGCATATAGATATGCATGGAATTCATTGCATACGACCCTTACAGAAGCCCCAAATGTGGTTCAAGTCTGCGCCTCTGACTGCAACCTCAAATAACTGGAAGAGGCATAGCTAAATAGTCTGGCTCTGTATAAGGGGGCTTCTTTTGTTCCTGTATTGTCAGTGCTGGAGAGCTGCTGCCAGTCAGTGCAAACCGTGCTGAGCTAGAGTTCCAACCCCTTTCTTGCTATCTGCATCTGGCTGGCTCCTTGCACAGGGCTCTAATTAAGTGCCCCCTCTTCCCCTCCCTCCCTCCCTCCCTGCACATTCCTCTCCTGGCTTTGCTTCTTTTTAACTCTCCCGCCCTCCTCAGTTCCTCCAGGTGCCCTCCTCCTCTCCAGAGGACAGTGTGTTCCTGCCACATGCCGGGTGAAAATTCAAAGGTTTAATTAGCTCCTAATGCCCCCAGTAGGGAAGCCAGCCAGCTTCCAAAACCCAGCATCCCACATCAAAGGCCGAGGAGGAAGGTGTGAGCCCAGCGGGGCTGATCCAACCCCACTGGGCAGCTATTCTCTGGAAGGAGCAATGCTTGTTCCCACCCACTGCAAAGCCAGGGCAAGAGTTTACTCTCTGAATGGGATGCTAATCAGGCAATTTCCCGCCCGCCTTCATCCTGCTTCGGGTTCCCTTTGAGCGGCTTGTCCCTTAGATTATGGAGCAATGACAGTTACTAATGGAGGAGGCTGGGCTGGGTGGGGAGATCCCAGGCTTCCTAGCAGCAGTTAAGACGGCTTCTGGTACATTGTCTTCAACCTGAAGTTAGAGGCAGACTGTGGTTCCTGCCTTGGGCTCAAAAAATAAACAAAAAGGAAGGAGTTGCAAATCAAGATGTCTGCAGACCAGCCAATATCCTCCAAGTCTGATGGGTTTTTCCAAAGGCGATTATATAAATTCAGGGGGAATAAGGCTACTCAGTCGGCTTCTATCTGCTGTATGTACTACTTCTAATATTGTGAGTGGGACAGTCCAGTTGGTCTCATGTCCTGCATGCAGGTTTCTGATAGACAACTGTGTGGCCACTGAGGGAATAAGACACTGGACTAGACAGGCTTTTGGCATGATCCAGCAGGGCTCTTCTTATGTCCTGAGTAACAGTGAGAGAGGGTTCTTGTGTTTCTTCCTTGCCTGTGTGCTTCCTGGAGGGATCTAATTGGCCACTGTGAGAACAGGATGCTAGACTAGATGGGCCTTTGGTCTGATCCAGCAGGACTCTTCTCCTGTATGGAGGAGGCGTATTGCATCCACATTTGATTTCAAGCATAGTGGCCTGGCCCACTGAGCAGGGCCAGGGAAGCAGAGTGAAGGACGAGCAGGGGGCAGAACCACATTGGATCATCAGACAAACAGAATCTACCAAGCCATGGGTGGATCCCAATTGGTCCAGGAAAGGGCCGTCAGTAGCTAAATACATTTGCCAAACGCCTAAAGTCTTTTCAACCCCCAATGCTTGTTACTTCCAGAATGCAGTTTTCAGCAAACTAGTACAGGAGGGACTGATTGTTAAGCCACCCTGGAAATCGTAGCTCTTGGGGGGTGGGGTGGGAAGGGTCTCTCAGCTCTTGTAACCAACCACAGCTCCCAGAATTCTTTGGGGGGAAGTCGTGACTGTTTAAAGTGACACCATAGTGCTTTAAATGTTTGGTGTGAATGTGGCCCTAGTTAGATACAACTCGTTCTCACTTTGGGGCACTGTGGGTGATTAAAAATCACAGCTTGTAGCCACCAGGCAGGCACCCACCACAGGGACCCTGACGGCAGGTGTTGGCTAACCTGTGGACCCTTCCGCGGTGCTGGCAGGTACCTGAGAGTGTGCGAGGTGCTGGTGCCAGGTCTGGGCCAGCCACTCTGTCTAGCCTAACCTACCTTGCAAATTTGTTGTAAGGGGAAAATATTGGATTTCCACAGTCTACGCCCTGAGCTGAGACAGTAATCTGATAGATAAATAAAGAAAAATGAATTGCACAACCTAACGCAACCTGAGGCATACTGCCTGCCTGGATTAGGAAGGAAGGAAGGAAGGCGGACAGCCAGTTGAAAAAAATATGTCTGCATTTTTTTTTTCATTTGCAAAAGAGAATTGCTGTTGCAATTTGGGTACAGGTTTGCTCTCTTTTCCATGCCAAAACCACTAATGGCCTTGGAAACTCCTCCCTTACTAGACCAAGATATGGCAGGCATTTGGGCTGGCTGCTTTGGATAACACCTGATCATAACAACTGAGAGTGTGGTTGTGGGTGGAGAACAAGGACCCAGGAAGTGACTAGGTTGCCCTATCAACCACTGTTCCGTTTGCTTCATTCACCAGGAACAAAAGAAGATGCGTAACACTGAGTCAGATTCTTGGTCTATCTAGTTGTTTTGTCTATCTAGTTGTTTTCGGGACACCCCGAAACCACCAAAATTGTTGAGTTTTTCAGTTGACTTGCTTAAGATCCAGGACAAAGCACCACCTTTCAGAAATCCCCCCTGGACATCAATTCTGCCTTTGAAATCCTGGTAATGTCTGGGAAAATCTGGACATATGACAGCCCTATGCTGACTGGCAGCAGCTGCCCAGGATTTTTGGCAGGAGACATGCTTCCAGTCCTACCTGGAGATGCTGGGTATTGAACCTTGGACCTTCTGCATGCAGATGCTCTACTGCTAAGTTACAGCCTTTCTCCCAATTGCAGTCTGTAACTAAATCTTGCAATGAAGAACTCTTGGATTCCGGAACCCAAGTGCTCCATTCCATCGCAATCCAGTCCTGTGTGTCCTGTACATCAATCAGTGAGTGTTCTGTTTAGAGGTTCTTGCCTCCCTTAGAGACACCCTCCTCCTAAAGTTCTGCTGCCCTTCTGCAAACCTAATCAAGCTAATCCCTCCCTCTTGGAAGATGCCATTTTGGCTACAGAAGCACCAACACTTGGAAAATCTCACTTGATCTTGGTATATATGTTCAGAACATGCATTCATTTTTTGCTTCATGTGAAAAATTTGTATCCCACCCACTTTCCAAGAAATTAAAGGGGATGTATCCAACCCTAATCAGAGTTGACCCACTGAGAGCTACAATTCCCAAAGTTCCCTGGGAAGAGGGATTGATTGTTAAACTACTCTGAGAAGTGCAGCTCTCTGGAGGAAATAGGGGTCTCCTAAGAACTCTCAGCACCCTTAACAAACTACAGTTCCCAGGATTCTTTGGGGGAAGCTATGACTGTTTGAATTATGGTGCTGGAGAAGATTCTTGAGAGTCCCATGGACTACAAGAAGATCAAACCTATCCATTCTTAAGGAAATCAGCCCTGAGTGCTCACTGGAAGGACAGATCCTGAAGCTGAGGCTCCAATACTCTGGCCACCTCATGAGAAGAGAAGACTCCCTGGAAAGATGGAACGATGGAGGGCACAAGGAGACGGGGACGACAGAGGACGAGATGGTTGGACGGTGTTCTCGAAGCTACCAGCATGAGTTTGACCAAACTGCGGGAGGCAGTGGAAGACAGGAGTGCCTGGTGTGCTCTGGTCCATGGGGTCACGAAGAGTCAGACACGACTAAACAACAACAATGACTGTTTAAAGTAGTATGACAGTGCTTCAAATGTATAGTGCATGTGGGGCCAAAAGTGAACTAGATGGACCAATGATCTGTCGGT